TCTCTTTCTGCTTGAGGATCTCAAGTTCCCTATGGTCAGTCTCAACCTGAATGTTGCACTTGTACCTATCAACGAAAGCGTTTGCTATGGACTCCCAGGTAGAGGTCTTTTCTTTCTCGAGAGAAAAGAACCATTGTTGGCAAACGGTCTCGAGAGATAGTGAGAACAGAGAGGGGAAAACCTTCTTAACGATACCCTTAATACTCATTATTGTTTCGAATGCTCTTAAATGAAAATAAGGGTTATCAGTTGCTCTGAATTTTGGGATGTCATTGGCATTGAACTTCTGCGGAAGAAGATCTTTGTCCACCGAGACCCCTTGTGAAGTGAGCCCTTGAAACTTGTAGTCGCTAGATAGCTTGCTTAGACTCTCTTGCATGAGGTCCATCTGTTGTTGTTTCACAGGATCATCGACCTTGAGTGTGAGGAGCTTCAGTGTTTCAGTCATGGTAACCAGTTGGTTCCTAAGCTCATTGACTTCTTCCTGTGTTACCATTATAGTCTTAGTTTTCCTCTTGCGAGCTATGGGTTTGTCGAAAAGTTGGACTTGTACGAAGAGGTTGTCTTTGATTAACCGTCCTTCCTTTCTTGACCACGCGCTGTAATTTAAACCATTTTGCGTTTTAATTACTTGACTCGAATCAACTTGACTTTACGATTTATTTTAAGGAGGAAAAAAAAATAAAAATGAAAATAAAAAAAATGGGTGCACATTTTTGGCAAAAATAATGTACATATTTTTAGGGAACTAAGTATAGTTTTTAAATTGGAGGATTAATATCCGACTTACCCCCCTAAAAATGACGGAAAAAACGCGCACGCAAGACCCTCGTAAACATGGTTAAAGTATGTGTATTGGTGTGTGCGTTGAGTGTAAGTGACATGCTTGAACTCTTGTGTAAGACCATGGGACTTAGTGCCTAAACTCGATTAATGACTCAAACAAGTACTATTGACAGCGAAAATTAACTGAATTAACTAGCAAACTGGTTAATTAACACTAGGTGATGACTCGACCAATAATCCAAACTGTCGGCAAAACGACAGAACTAGCGTTACACTGTGGAGCTTGGCGCCAGACGACAGAGCTGTTGCCAGGCGCCACACTCCACAGGGTGGCGCTACAGCTCAGATTTTGGCGCCAAAGGTGGAGCTTCAATCTGGGACTGTTTTCGGTGTTATTAATCAGCTAGGGTATGCCTAAAGTCGTACTAAGTTAATTCTGATTAAAATATTAGACTTTATTGACTCAAATTAATTAATTAATTAATTAATTAATTAGGAAAAGTTCTTTAATTAAGTCATTAATTTATTTAATCTCAACACAAGTCAAACAAACGGTTAAGAAACATAGAATATATGCACAACAAATAAAGCACAATTAGTCAAGTAGGCACAATATGATGCAATGAGTTTGCAAGCTAAACATGGCTCTAGTTCTCTAAAGTTCGGGATATGGTTTAGTCAATAGAGGGTCCATGGTTAATTGTCCGGATGCACCGCACAGAAGCCTAACCGTGAAGGGTTGGCGCGAGTGGATGGGACACCGTGAGTTTTAGAAAAAACTCGCTTCCATGGTTTGGTGAATTCAACATTCTCGGATGTACCCTTTGTTGCACAGAGCGTTCAATCAGGTAAATGGAGCATGAATTCCCAGATGGTTATGTCCATATGTAGAACACATATGGGTTTCAGAAAAGTGAGAAAAAAAATTCAATCAGGAAGTAGGATCGAGCAAACAATACGAAAAACCGGTCGAAATTAGAATGCATATTTCTGGCTCGGTATTGGGGGAAATTGGCGCCAGCAAACAGAGACTGGCGCCAGTTTTTAGCTATAGCGTCTGGCGCCAATGCTAGTGTCTGGCGCTACAGTTAAAAGTCTGGCGCCAATACTCTGGCCCCTAGCGCTAATTCCCACATGCCTCAGCAGCTTTCTGTGCTCGATAAAATTTTCCAGTTTTGCGCGGTGTTATTTCGGTCCTAGATGTGAAAGATATTTCACAAATTTCCTACGTATAAAATCCTATGGTTTTAACTCATTACGGATGGTCTTCCAATGAGATCTTTTTTATGCATATGACAATAATGTTAATCAAAATTACGCACATGAAATACTTAGAACGTTTCGAGTCTCATCCACTCATTCTAAATCATTGTCGAAACAAATTCAGGAAGTAAAATAGAAATCCTCCCCAGCGGAGTCGCCAAAAACTGTGGGGAATAAATTTCAAGCATTAATCCCCTAGCTTGAACCCCACTGTGATCATACACTAAAGTATAGTGGCGTCCAAAAGGGAAGAAAATAGAGCAAAAGAGTCGCCAACAAGTTTTAGGAACTTGTAAACCGTTCACAGGGTGAATGTTACACCCCTTAACGATCCAAGAGATCGTCAACTCCATAAGGTCTTGAACCAAATAAGGGTTCGGGGATGAAGGTACAAATCCAACCTAAAAGTGATTGAACCTGCCCTAATAATAGGCCTCTACTTTATTCAGATCGTATTCATGTGAGCTTTCTGACTAACATGCAATCAATAGGATTACCTTAAACTTGTTTATCTATGTTGGTTGAATATTAATGCACAAATAAAACTATTATTGGCGATCACTTGAATTATAATCATAATTAACTCTAAACAAGATTATTAAATATCTTATTAAGCGTGATTACAAGTACCAGTTCCCTTTCAACATGTATAAAAGGCGTGATCAAGAAATAACAATAAATATCAAACAACATAATAATAATCAATATCATGATAATAACAATCATCATAACAATAATCAAAATAATAATTATAATTATAATCATAATCATAATCATAACAATAATCATCATAATAACAATCATAATAATAATAATAATAATAATAATAATCATGTTAATCATAATAATAATAATTATTATAGCAATAATAAAATTATAATCATAATCAAAACAATTATAAAAATAATCATAAATTATGTTAAAGCATAATAATAATAGCAAGATCCTAGGCATGATACTAACAAGATTAATAACAAATCCTAGCATGTCACTAAGCAATAAAAATCAAATCTTTAACCCTAACATGATACTAGAAATCATAAATCACTACTACAAAAAAGGCCAAAGAGACCAGTTGAAAAAGGCCAAAGAGACTGCTTTAGAGGCGGTCTCTAGCTCAGTGGTCTCTTTGGCTAAGAGACCGCTTGTAAAGAGGTGGTCTTAAGTTGCTATACCAGAGACCGATTATCTAAGAAAAACGGTCTCTTTGGGTGGTTGATATTTTGAAATCTTAGAAGCATAAGAGACCGTTTTTGTCAGAAAAGCGGTCTCTTGTATACCAAACTATGACCGCTTTTTTTACTTAGGCGGTCTCTCTTTTTGAAATAACTAAGACCACTTTCTTAGTTAGGCGGTCTCTCTTTTTTAAAAAAAGAATATACAGCGTTTGTGTATAGACCATGCATGTATGATAGCCGGTCTCAAATGGGTAATTTTTTTCTTTCGAATAATCAAATTTTTAAATCCTACTTGCTGCATTAAATTTTTGCGCCAAATGATTCCAGTATAAATCTTTTTTTTTTTTAATCCAACCTGTAATCACCAAAAATAATCCTTGAACCTGCTAATATATTATATACAAATAGCATTCAAATACATACATATATATATATATGCATCAAACTATATATATCCAACACAGTACTAATATATGTACACAGTAATAGCTAATTGCCAATGTATCAAAATACAAAATGTAGAGATTTTTCAAGTATCAAGACTAACAGTAATCATGCTGTAATCACCAATCACTAAGGTTCTTCCGGCTCCTCATGATCAAGAACATATTGAATCCATAAGTCTCTAATCTCGTCAATTTTTTCTGAAGAATATGTGCAAGGATCTTTGGGAAAAATCTACAACATATGCCATTATTAAATGAGTAAAGAAAGATATATAATTACATAAAAGTTATGAAATAACAACAAATTAGATTACATCCATTTACAATTGAGCTAAAGAGCTATTTTGCCTACTTTCTTACTTAAATCCAGAATACATAGCTATTAGCATATTATCAACAAACAAATTTCTCAGTCCAAAATTAAAACAACCGAAAATATTTTTTGAGCTGCAGATGGATGCTAGAAAGGTCATTGATAACAAAGAGTTCTGAACTCTACTCAATTATGTTTCCTTTCATCTAATTTAACTAGTACTACTGTTCTGCAAGTTAAATTTTGAATGTATATACAGAGGATACCTCATTCAATGAGGAACTCGAGAGGGGTGCTGGACAGAGAAGGTTTTCATACGTTCATCTTGAATCAGCCACACAAAATTTCTCTAATGAACGAAAGTTGGGTGAAGGAGGATTTGGAGGCATTACAAGGGCTATCTTATGGACTTGGATATGCTAATCGCAGTGAAAAAATTCTCTAAGGGCGGTAGACAGGGGAAAAAAGAGTATAGTACCGAGGTTAAAATTATTAGCAGGCTAAGGTGTAGGAACCTGGTGCAGCTTATAGGTTGGTGCCATGATAAAGGTGAATTCCTACTTGTTTATGGCAGGAACACATCAAGGAAAGGGATTAGTATTGTGGGTGTGGGATCTTTATGGCAATGGTGAGCTTCATTTAGCCACTGATCAAAAGCTTAATCACATGGAATTTAGCCACTAATCAAAAGCTTAAGCCACTGATCTTTATGGCAGTGGTGTGCCTATCCTGACTACAATCACAGGCCATCAATAAAGAAAGCAATTCAAGTTCTCAACTTTGAGACTATCATGCCTAGTGAATTTTTTATTGATGAACACAGTCCAATTATCAAGATGGGAGTAATCTTCAATACCAAAGGAAATGCAAGAGGGGGGGCAAACAGAGGGGTTAACATATGCATGCATAAATAAAATACCAAGTTAAATGACATGTATGTTGAATATACCTGCTCAGAAATCCATAATACTCTGTTCTGTATAATGTCCAGCATATAGCGACATACAAAGTAAACACAGTGCTTTGTGTATGCAGATTGTAGAGGACACTGATACAAAAAAATAACCATTAACACAGTTTTGGATCTGATTTTACACTACTAGGTATGAAATATGCTAAAAATAATAATGACTTACACGTGGTTGCTTCCACCCTATTTTTGGATTCTTTTTTATTTTCTTGATATCTTTTCGATGCTTCATGCTGAATTTAACTATTCCCCTACAAAATCATTTCAAGATGGCACGGTTGCATTAATTTTGATTAGACAATAAGAAAAACACAACAAGTTAACCAAGTGAATATTTTAGTAGTATATACTCATTGATGATTTTTTGTGCAAATGAGTTGATTTCGTTTTCTGCTCCAAGTGGATCTAACCAATACACCAACCCATTCCATGGACTAATTACCGCTAAAGTCCAATGCAGACTAGACATATTGTAAAATAAATACATAGTAATGGGATTAATTAAAATTTGAGGATTTAACATAACTCAGATCTATAAAAAAAAATAAAAAACAAACTACACTTACTTGTCATTATAAGGAGCAAAGAATAATTGATTAACATTTTTCCCCTCATTGGTTCCAAAAACATGGGCTAAGTAGTCAGATCGAACTTGCTCATCCGTTGTCGGTGTCAATGGTGAAAGAACATTACAGTCACAGAACCCATACATTCCTGAGACACCTTCTTTTTGACAACGTTCTTTTAGGTGCCTAGTCCCATGAAAAGTCATATGAATATTAGTTAGTGGGCCAAAAAAAACAATATTAAAATTAGAACCTATATTATATGGAAACTTACTTCATGAAGACCTTCATTTGCGATTTTCCGATCTCCCTTTGGAAACACCAATCAAGCAAGTCTTCAAAGTCAAGTGAAACATCCAACCCATTTTTGTTAAGAAACACGCTTTCCGGGATAGTTATGGAGATGGTATCACCTGTCTTTTGCATTCCCATAGCTTTTTTTCTCATAACACGCATCCAAGTAGATGTTACCTTCTCACGATCCTTGTCGGTAAAAACATAGGTACGAGTGGTTGATGCTTGGGAAGATGTTGATCGTGGGGATGGTGTGGTCATATTCAACTCCTTATCTAGTTGCTTGTCCGCCTTAATAATATGGTTTCACACAAAAACAACACGCATGTAAGCTTTAGAAGAAGAAAGATTGCACATGAATCTAAAAGGGAAGACAAAAACCACATAAGAATCTCGAGTCTCGAAGCTAAGAAGTAGCTGAATGCAAAGACCAGACAAAATAAAGAAAAATCACATATAGCAAGTTGGATTCAGCTTATCCTGTATTCATTCAGAGAACTAACATGAGGGCAGATGCAATTTTACCTTTAATATTGTGTACAGATCAAAGAGCCTGCGTGTGGGTTGCTATTATAATGCTGTGATGATCGTTATGTAATCTGACATGTTTGTATCTGATGTGACAGTCCATTATATCTGCTTTTCTAATGTTTATTATCATGTTATACTAGTGCTGTAAACAGTGTGACTATGTGTTCACTTCATGTGAATCCATTCCTTTTTAGAAACACTGTTAAATTTATGTTTCTCACACATGATGTAATGGAAGATCAATTGTTAAATTGTGTAATCTTAAAACTCCAGGTTCTGGTGTCATTATTATCAACACGGACTGAATTAACTATGGCATTTAAGTATATTTTACAGACGCTATTCAGAGGGCCTCAGAAATCTCTATATCCACCACCTTTTAGTCCCCACGGCCAAATGGTAATTTAATTTCATAATAAGCTGGAAAAATTCAAATGTAAAACCAAATAATGTAGAAATGATGAGGAAGCAAAAGCCAGCAGATGATATTGTGTCTTTGTAGAATATTCCCCATAAGATAACAAGCACATGCATTTCTTAATTTGTGTGGATCAATGTTTCTATACTTGGAGCAAGATTATTGCAATATTATGATGTAAAAGACAGACACAATCGTCCCACATCAAGAAAGAAAATCTAAGCTAGGACTTTGCGGTATTAATAGAGCAAATAAAATCACTGTTTATTGTCTTTTAGGATTATGCTCCAATAAACTAAGGTTTTTTTTTTATTTACTTTGCCTAAATATATCTGAATATGTAAAATTTTGTGGGTAACCTTCTTTAAACTAATCACATACATCTTAAATTATCAAAAACAAAGAAACATCACATATAGCAGCTGAATGCACGTGGTTAGCAGAGGGCAGCTTAGCCAGGAACTTAGCCTATTATGGACCATGTATCCTAGCAGTAATTATACTATCAATGGTTATATCCATAAGTCGGGTGGTACTATACATAAAATACAACTATAGATGTAAAACATTATATACTTCCTACCACAACAACAATGTCACAGCCTAATCCCAATAAAATGGTACCGGTTGCATGAAGCCATGAACCGAGGATGCATATAAAATGAAGCCATGAACCGAGGATGTGTAAAATAAACCATACATGTTCATTAGAATGCAGAATGCAGAAGCAGTAGCAACAACATAGTAGCAACAGCATAGCAGCAAAAGAATGTAGATTTGCTCCTTTACCTGTTGGGGGAGTATCAAATGATTTGGCCAAGCTGTGAAAGCCTTCTTAGCTTGAAAAACAAAGATCAATTCATCGTTGGGACATGGCAAGGGAGCAGAAGGCATTAAATCTTCTGTAATGGTTACTCGACGATGACCATGTGGCAACGATATGGTATGATTACCAAGAACTTCCGTGTTGTTTTCTATGTAAAATTTTCTGTTAGCAACAATCTGTAGCTCTTTGTCGCTTCCCTCAATTGCCAAGCGGCAATCACTCCATCCCTGAAAACAATAGGCTCAACCAGATATCAAACATGAAATCTCGCTTAAATGACCTTCGCATTATATGAGACTTGAAAACAAAGCCCATAATTCAAGCAGATTACCTCGGGAAATGTATAGTTTCTGTTGGTATTCACAACTTGGCTTTGAGGTGGGGGAATTGGAGTATACTCAATTGCATTCATATGGTTCACCTCAGGCCAAGGAACATGGTATGCCTCTGCCTCTGCCGCTGTCTCGAGGTTCTGAAGTTGAGGATGGACCACGATTGGGCTTTTTGTGTACTGAGGTTCTGAGTTTGTCGCAATTCCTTGCTCAGTATAGGCTTGTTTGTGAGATTTATCCACATGTGAATCTTGTCCAAAGTGATGCCCTTCAATGTCATGCCTTTCCATACCTCCCATCAAGAGTTGTGTAAGAGGGACACCATTACCAAATGAGTTGTCTAAATGAGCAGCATCCAACCCATTTCCAGCTGCCCCTTAGCTACTAGAACCACTCATGTCACCAGAACCAAAATGGTTCCCAAAAGCACCAAGGAAACCACCCGAACCTGCTGCCTCCCCACCAAGCAGCCCACCTGAATTTGCAAGATCGCCACCAAAACACATTGCTGAGCACCAGCATGAATGCTCCTAATTACTCTTGGGTTAAGCATGACATCATGAAGGAAATTATAAAGTTTTGTTGCTTTCTCATTGTTGCCATCCTTGAGTTCATCACATTCATTCTAGCATGTAATTCGCTAGGTGTGGTTGGTTTGTTGTATCCAAAGTAATCCTTGTTAGTTATGCCTGATCCAACAGCCCTAATAGAACCTCCATGCTCGGATTTGTTTAAAGCTCTTGACAAGATATCATCTCGACCTGTAGCAACTATTTCACCTTTTTGTACTTGGGACTCCAATCTAATCTGTAAAACGAGGCCAAGATCATAAAGGGTTAGTGTCTATTTTTTTAATCGAAAAGGAAATTATATTACATGCAGGTGTTTACCAAAACACCAAGAAATTGCATCAGATTGTTGCCAACTTACTATTGCATCATGGATTTCTTTATCAGCAGGATTGTCAACGGTAAGAACTCCATTCTTGACGTAAGAATGAGCTTTAATCCAAGTCAAATGTCGAGGCACGTTTGAGACATGTATTCCTTGCTTTTCATGATCTTTCTCCTACATTGTGAAAATACAAAATCATAAATTAAACTACTTTGAAAAAGGTATATACCTAACACAAACATGCAATAATCACTAAAGCAGGAAAATGTCAGCAATACAAACTTAAAGTTCTAAACAAATATTTCTGAACTTCTTATTGCAGCAGAAAATATCAGAGTAATTCCCCTTCTCATACCAACAAAGTTGAAGTACTACTATGAAGTTAAGTTACTGACTTTATGAAGTTTTGGTGTGTGCAGGATTTATAGGTGATTCATTGAATAGAAATATTTTTGTGTCTCTATTTTGCATGCTGAGGCAAGTATCAAGTTTCCACTGAACCTAATCAAATGTTTACCAAGATGATACATTTGGTTGATCAATTATACTATATGAATTTACCAAGATGTTTCAGTCTCTTTTGTGCAACCTTCTTTGTGCTTTATATGTACCAACAGGTGTCCACGCTTTCGATTTTTCCCCTTTTTTTCTTTGTCAACCCACATGCCTTCATTGTGGTCATCTCTAACATATATTGAAATATCATCTGTAACATCAACCTCAATGTGTACTTGCTCCTTTCTCCTAACATAAACATCATCCAACACACTATCTTCACCATAATCATCAAAAATATGTCGGGGCTTTGGTGCTATAACTGCTGACATTCTCTTGTTCAATGGGTCGGTCATATAAAAGACTTGTCTTACCTGACTTGCTAGTATGAAAGGATCTTCTTTGTGACCAACTTTATTCAAATTCACCAATGTAAGCCCGAACCTATCATGTTCAACCCCATTATTATTGTCGACCCATTGGCATTTAAAAACAGGTATCGAAAAACTAGAGTAATGCAGCTCACAAATCTCTTCGATGACCCCATAATAGTTCATCATACCACACACAGGATTCTTGTCTTTAGCACTAGCAAAATGCATAGCTTCAGCCTCTAAAGTAACCCCACTATTCTGCATAGTACTAAGTTCATCTTGAAACCTTGTGTAAAATGTGCAACCGTTAATAACATATGCAGAATAATAAGTTGCACTAAAATCGGGTCCAAAGGCCAAAGTCTTTAGTCAATCAGAAAATGGAGTCGAAGAATCTATTAGCTCCTTCATTACATAATCCTTCAGCCAACTAATAAATGACCTACTATGTTCAGCAGCTAATGACTTCTCATTTGCTCTGCTGTTGCTTTTCCTCAAGAAGCTCATGTGTTTCTCAACATACGGCATAACTTCATCCTCATTATGAAGAATGTATAAATGAGCCTTATGCCAATCAACATAGGATAGGTCACGTACTTTTTGACCTATGGTCCCCTCACCATCCATTCTTCCACTATGACGAGATACAGGAAGCCCTATCCGTATTGCATTTAGCACATAGTCATTGGAATAAGCAAGAACTTCTTCATAAAATAGTCGTTCGGCAATACAACCTTCAGGATGAAAAGCGTTCTTCACATATCCCTTATAGGTTCTCATTTGCCTTTCAAAACACCATTGATTTCTCATGTGAACTGGACCACAATATCTTATCTCTCTAACCAAGTAAATCGGTAAATGGATCATAATATCAAAAAATAATGGAGGAAAAAACATCTCTAATTGACACAAAATTTCAACAATTTCATCCTCTAATGCAGTCAACTCTCTTGGATCAATCACTTTGCTATAAATCGCATGAAAAAATCCGCAAAGTCTAATTATAGCATAACGAACAATTTTAGGCAGAATAGAACGAATTGCTACAGGTAACAAGTGCTGCATTAAAACATGGCAATCAAGAGACTTAAGGCCTACAAGTTTCAAAGTATCCATGTTCACAAGGCTACGAATATTCGAAGAATAACCTTCGGGCACTTTTACTCCAACCAAGCTTTCACAAAACTCGATTTTTTCTTTTCTGGACAATGTGTAAGCAGCAGGAGGCAAGTATGCTCGACCTTTCTCATTTGTAACAACATGCAATTCATCTCTAATCCCCATATGCTTCAAATCATCTCTAGATTTTTTACCATCCTTAGTCTTACCGGGGATATTGAGTAATGTACCAATCAAGCTATCACACACATTCTTCTCAATATGCATAACATCAAGTGAATGTCTCACAAAGAAAAATTTCTAATAGGACAGTTGCCAAAAACATGAACACTTTTTGAAACCCTTCTTAGAAAGAGTGGATCTGTGTTTCTTTCCAAAAGTAATATCAATGTCCTTCACCTTTTCGAAGACCTCTTCACCTAACATGACTTTTGGTCGCCCTTTGAATTCTTGTGTCCCATCAAACGCATTTTTTCTCCTTCGATATGGATGATCAGACGGCAAAAATTGACGATGAACCGGATAAACATGCTTTCCAGATTCCTTTAACCACTGTCCTTTGCAATCCTCCATACCAATAGGACAAGCTGTTTCCCCTTTCACAGTATACCCCGAAAGATTTCCATCAGCCGGAAAATCTTGAATGGTGCAAAATAGCATTGCTTTCAAATTAAACTTCTCATTGCGATGTGCATCAAAAACTTCCACACTTTCTTCCCAAAGCATAATCAAATCGTCAATAAGAGGTGCCAAGTACACATCAATGTCATTTCCCGGCTGTTTTGGCCCTAAAATTAGCAACGAAAGGAACATATACCTTCTCTTCATGCATAATGATGGGGGTAAATTGTAGGTCACCAACATAACGGGCCAAGTACTATACGTATTACTCATGGAACCAAATGGATTGAAACCATCTATAGACAATGCAAGGCGTAAATTACGCTTTTCATGTGCAAATTCAGAGTATTTTGCATCAATAAACCTCCACTGCGGAGAGTCAGCCGGGTGTCTAAGCATTCCATCGTCTACTCGGCCATCAAAATGCCAGGTTAACTTCGTTGCATCTTCTGCTTTTGAAAATAACCTCTTAAACCTTGGTACTATTGGAAAATACCATAATGTTTTGGCAGGTACTCCCCGATCCCCTTTCTTATACCGTGAGGCTTTACGAATTTGACAACTCTCTAACGATTCATATTGATTACGATACAATACACAATCATTAGGGCAAGCATGCATTTTCTCATAAGGTAAACCCATAGAGCTTAGTGTCTTTTTCGCCTCATATGTACCAATAGGAAGGACATTGTCTTTGGGAAGCATGTCTTTCACCAATTCCAATAACACATTAAAACTTGTGTCTGTCCAACCATGACCAGCCTTCAGGTTGTATAATTTGAGTATGGCTGATAACCTTGTGTACTTGGTGCAACCTTCATACAATGGTTTTTCATAGTCGTTTAACAAGCTCTCCAACATGGAAGGGTTGTTATCAAATTGATCCTCAACTGCATGCAACATGTCCTCCAACCCATCACCCTCATTATTATTATGAACTTCCCGCACATCATCCCTTTTCTCACCACTACCACTATCTTGTATGTCCCTAAACTCTCCATGCCAGATCCAACGGGTATATGTTTTATCAAATGCCCATTTACTCAAATGATTGAGAATTTCATCGGGTCTCTTATGCAAAAAATTATGGCACATAAAACAAGGACAACGTAGCTTGGAGCGGCCTCCACTGTTTTCTACTGAAATTTTAATAAATTCCTTAACCCCTACTTCATATTCAGGGTCACCCGGCTTCGATGTTGATATCCAATTTCGATTTATTTCTAACCACCAAGAATAAGACCTCAAATCTTAAAATTGTCACATATGTAAAGCTCATATAAAGGCAATTTGGAATATTACCACAAGATTTACAACATCTATAAAACAATATATATAAATAAAACAATAATTGCATGAGTATATTAACATTGTATAAAAGTCGAAAAATAAGATTGAGATAAATTAACTTAAAAATATCAAATAAGTAAAGCTTATATAAAGGAAATTTGGAATATAACCAGATTTACAAAATCTATAAAAAAATATATATATGTATTTAAAAAATAATTGCAAGAGTATATTAATATTGTGTAAAAAAACAAATATCATATTCATTAAACAATAGCAATAAGCTCTTCCATTTTTCTATTCATTTTTTAAGCACAAACAATATACTATACAAAGTAAAGAGTAGAAACATGGACCACTAGTCATTTACTATTTATTTTTGAATGTGAGCAGCATGAACATCAAATTTGAAGAGCTTCCACATTCATGTTCTGTCATTTTTTATAGCACATATTTTTTCACATGCAATTATTTTAGGAATCCTTACACGTGGGGTTAGCTTATATACTATATTTTATACATCTTTTACAAAGGTACAAAAAAGAACTTTTGCGGGAAAATCAAATTCCTAAGAACTACTATATATAACTGCTCGTATCTTAAACAAAGCCCTCTAAGCCAAATCAACTAACCAGTATAACAAGACAATTAACATACAAATTTTATGCAAATAGATACAATAGAAAAACTGAAAAGAATTTGAATCATTATGCATTTTTATAACATTATTCTTCTTATAATATAGCAAAACAAACAAGGCAACCTCAATAAAACAGTAGATTATGAACAAAAATCAGTCATTTTATGAATTATATGTACCACATACATAGTTACAACAGCAATTGAATGAAAAATCAAAACTGAAAGAAAAATAATAATAATAATAATAATAATAATAATAATAATAATAATAATAATAATAATAATAATAATAATAATAATAATAATAATAATAATAATAATAATAATAATAATAATAATAATAATAATAATAATAATAATAATAATAATAATAATAATAATAATAATAATAATAATAATAATACCTCGCGCGACCTTCTCCAAAGTTAGGGTTTTAATCCTACAATTGCAGAATTCTCAAGCTCCAACAATTGAATGAAAAACCGAACTTCAGTGGTGGAACTGCGGTTGCTACCGTGCGCCGGAAGATGGAGTGCGAACGATGGAGTTTGATTGCAATGGAACGGTGGTGTAACAATGGAGTGAATTGAATGCAATTATGCAATTATGGAGTGCAGTCAAGGATGGAATTTGAGTGCATGTCGCGTCGGCAGCCTTTAGGTGGAGGTGGACGGAGGTACGCCGGCAAGTGGAGAAGGAGGTAGCTTAGCGCGGTGTCAAGCTAAGGGAAGTAGTTTGATCGACAATAGGTAGAGTAAGCTAAGGGAAAAGCAAAAATTTGGAGCAGATCGAGAAAGTGAAATTATTTTAGGGATTTTGGCGGTTTAGAAGAATTAGGAAAAGCAGAGACCGGTTATTACTTTCCACTGGTCTCTGCCAATTTTTAATTTGAAAAAATAAAAAAATAAAAAAAAACACCTAGAGACCGGTTTTGTAAAACAATTGGTCTCAAACTATTTTAATTAAAATGTAAGAATATTCTAAAATACCCCAAGAGACCGGTTATCTTTAAAAATTGATCTTTTGAATTTGTTTTGAGACCGCTTATGTAGTAAACAGGTTTATTATTTTGGGTCTCTTTGGCCAATTTTGTAGTAGTGAATATTAGGAAGAACATAAGAAGCATCGTAACAATCATATTTGATATTAAAATTACCCTAGACATGATACTAGGAATATCATAATAACAATTTAAACATGATTTCTACATCATAACATCAATAAATCAATTAAAGTACTTACTTTGATGCCTTGTACCTCTTTCTAATAACAAAATACACACGTTAGTAACTTCAAGGAAAATAATAATCAAAACAATTAAATTAAATAATTGAAAGAGAGATTTGGGACCAAACCCTCAGAAATTAAACCTTTCACGTCTAGGGCGAAGGCAACTTCGAATATGTCTAGGTGTTTCTAGATCTAATGAATGCGGAATTTTGTATTTAAAAGCTAGTTTAGAAAAAGAGAGAAAGAGAAAGATGAGAAGAGAATGCGAGAATTGATGATTGCGAATGAAAACTGGTTGTAGGTGAATGAAAACGGAATTTTTATGAGGTTATTTATAGAGAAAATCAGCCAAAAAGATAAAATTAACAAAACAAAGTATTGGCGCACAGAAAAACGAACCAGCGCCAACGCTGGCTGTTGGCGCCAAGCGCCAAGGTTGGCGCCAGGCGCCAAGCGTAGCGCCAGGCGCTACAGCTGGCGTTTGGCGCTAATTTCATAAATTCACGCGTTTTCTAAAATCAGATAAAAAATACCGTACAGGAGGATAAAACGTATTTTCCTCAAAAATGCTCTTTGATTTTAATTAAAACTCTGAAAAGTCAACAAAAGTCAATTTATCAATATTAATTGAATTAGGAATGAAAAGAACCTTCTAGAAGAATCTAGAAGACTAAAACCATTCCTAATTGCATTAGGAATGTTAAATCATATTAGGCCCTCCCCTAGATCATTGGGCCGCATATAAGGCTCAAACCGGGCTCAGTTTAGTAAATCGGCCATAACTTCCTCAATATTCATCGGAATTGGGCTTATAATATATCGTTGGAAAGCTCTTGTCAAGCCCCATCCAACTACACTACTATTGGACCCATATCATGGACCAACCAAACTGGATTGGATGTTTTCTGAAAATAAGTTTTCAAAAACATAGAGAAGAGAAAAGAAATTAAAACTATCCGCAACACTAAACTTTCCACACTTTCACTTCATTCGATTATGATTCGACGCGAAAGGTACTCATCACTGGGTTTGGTTTTGGGGAGACACAAATGGGTGTCTACACTACCCCAGCCACCCAACCCCCACCGTCAGCCCCACCGTCGGCAACCAGTTGCCACTATCCTCCTTGACTGCCTCGTTTCCAGCCCAAGCAACTGGAAAATTCGCTCCCTCCCTTTTCCCCGTCCCCAAAACCGGCAACCCTCCCCAACGACCACCAAAAACAAGCCGCCGTTGCCGCCGTTTTCCATAACCCTTAAAAACAGCCACAAACACCCACTAGTGGTCAAAATCGGCCGTATTAGGGCCGAAATGGTCGATTTTGACCTTAATCCGGTTGATTTTGATCATAAGTAGCGTTTGTGGCCGTTCGTTTTTTGGGTTGCTTGAAAAACGAACGACCGTTTTTGGTGGCCGTTGGGAACTGACTATCAGATATGAGGAGTGGGAAAGGAAGGGCGACGCATTTTCGGTAGCTAGGGCCGGAAATGAGAGGGTTAGGTTGAGGATGTGGTGGTTATGCGCCACCGGGGGTGGGTCTGTAGTGGTTGGGTTAGTTTTAAGGATTTTTTTTTTGTCTAAACTAATAATATAGCAACACGTGGCACAATGGACCCAAACTTAACGGAAATTTGGACGGCAACTGTTAAGTGGTGGTAATATTTTTTTTTTTTTATAGTTTAAAAACCATTTTTTTGTTTTTTTTTTTGTGGTGTTAAAAATCAATATTTTCTTCTTCTTCTTCTTCTTCTTCTTCTTCTTCTTCTTCTTCTTCTTCTTCTTCTTCTTCTTCTTCTTCTTATTATTATTATTATTATTATTATTATTATTATTATTATTATTATTATTATTATTATTATTATTATTATTATTATTATTATTATTATTATATCTCAAAAACAGACGAAGTCATACGACCTACAAAAAATTAGTGTGAACTGAGATACAATCTGGGCCCAAACTCCTCTAACTATAGAAAATCTTATCTTAATTATTATATCTCAAAAACAGACGAAGTCATACAACCTACAAAAAATTAGTGTGAACTGAGATACAATATGGGCACAAACTCCTCTAACTATAGAAAATCTTATCTTAGTGAATATATGAGTAGCAGCACGGGCCCCAATGTCTTGCGTTATCGAGAATTTCCGAACCTGCTTCAGCAGTGCAACAACCTCCTTCTCTAATTCCCCAAGTGAAGAAAATGAGAAGGGAATGAAACCATATACAATCGCCTGACAACTAGATTCGTACTTGACCAGCTTCCGATGAGCCGCACTAGCCACAACCCATACAGGCACGAAGCCAGATAGCCCCGACTGTGTCAATGGAGAAGACTTTGTCAAGTCAACACAAACATCGCATCCTTGATCCCAGTAATAAAGTAACACATCTGCAGATCTGAGAGCCCAGTCGTTTCCTCCAGACACCCAACATCAACCTCTTTTCTCGCTGAAATCCCAGGTTGATAGCAAACATAAAAAAGGGTAGTCCGAACAATATTATGCCGATGCGTAATACACACCAAACCAGCACACGACACCAAGTGATCACCGAAGATATCCCAGGAAAAACCCTTGAACAAGCAGAACACGGTGTTGAGATAGAGAACAAAGGACACCCAATTAGTAGCACAACACACATCGGTAAGTCTTTGCATTCATCGTCTGACCCTACCCCGAAATAGGGACAGCCCGAAGCTAAGCAAAGGTGTGATCTCCCTGCTGCAATTTCCACAATGCAGATTGTCGAGTAGATAAAGAAAATGTGGATTCTGCAGAAGCAGTAACTTTTGTGAAATATATATGTGCATATTTCTTCATGAGTTTTAGAGCAGCAACCTCACTAGGATTACTCAAAATGTCAGACTCCACCATTCGATGAAACAGACCGAATGCATCCTCAAAGGCTCGACTAAGACCAACAATACT